TTTAATAATTTAAATAAAACTTACTAAGAATTCATTACCTATTCTAACTGCTGTCGATTACTATAGATAGAATAGAATACTTAATTCCTAGTACCTGGAGGACAGAGCTTTGCTCGGTTTGTTTTTTTTTGGTACATCGTGTATTTGGGAAATTACATTTAGATACAAATTACTAAGTAATGAAATATGCATAATATGTTTCGATCTTACCGACGTAATAATAAGAAAATATGAACTGGTGTTTTTCACAAAAGAAAGAACTAAAAAAAAGGGAAAATAATAACAAAATAACAAATCGACAAAAAATAAAAGACAAAGAAAGCAATGATCTGGAATCGAAAAAAAGTAAAAAAAAAAGTGTGTAAATGATCGTGATACGAACCACGGCCTTCTGTTACCGACCGAGCTATTATAACATATTTTTTTTCGGTGAAATTTACCGTCGTGTTCGAATAATATTTTTAATTCCCTGAAAACTGGGATAAAATGACGTTTTCTAAAACTGAAACCTAGTCAGATCGATTTTTCGCCCCTGAATCTACGCACATACTAAATTTCATGAAAATCGCTGGAGCCGTTTCCGAGATTGCAATTATATATATATATATATATATATATACAAGAATTGCTCGTTTAAAGGATAAGAGATAAAACAATTTACCAGATATAAGAATACGTATTTGCAAAACCTTATAACTTATGTTATAAATTCGAAAAATGTTTATTTCAAGTAATAAATTCAACTGACGTACTCTGTAGAACTCTTCTTTCTAGTACCACTTAAAAAAACTTCTTCGCTCCATGAAGCCATATAGTGCGGACCTATCTTGAATAGACGTAGCTCGCTTGCCGTTGCGCCCATATGCTAATGCAGGTATTGGTGACAAAGTGTAAACAAGGTCTGTTTAGTTTTGTGCTCGCAAGTAGGTTTCCTTGTAAGCAGAGTGGCATTTACACTTCTCAGAGGCTGCTATTGTTTTATCCTATCTGTGTGATTGTCATATTAGGCTAGGGTAGGATGGGAAATGCCTAAGCAGCGCGCCCTCATGGGCAACGAACTACCCTGAGTTCGATGGTCACGGGAGTAAGGAGAGCCAGTGCGGTGGTACATCTGCGGTGCAACTCCACCATAAAGACACATTTTCCTTCGCGACTCTTCGGTTTCAACAAGACAGGGAGAGTGGCTCCTTCTCACCACCGTGAGTGATCAAGCCACGGCTACTAAGCCCCTCCACTATGACAAGGTGGTAAGCTGATCGGAAGGGCAACAGCAACTAGCTACTAGCGCAACTAAACCGCAGGTGATTGAGGTCATGATCACGTCATGAAAATGTCTTGCTGACCCTATCGGATTCACTGAAAAGGGTCCAGACCCCATCTCGGTTGTCCAAGAACCCAGTGTCCCCCTTTTATCGTTTGAAGAGCTGCTAATATGGTGGTACGTTTAAAAATGCATGCTACGACACTTTAGTGGGGAAATACGAACTACACAAAGATTTTTCAAACCAGCAGTCTACAAAAGTTCTTTAAAATTAAAAAAAAAATTGTCCGTGTATTCTGAATGATATTAAGTTCAAAATAGTACCGAAGTATTACAGAAAAAGGCGGTTAAATAAATATGAACACCAATAAAGATATAGTTTATTTATTACGTCACGACGACAACAAATTTTAAGACTTCTAAAATAGGTAGCATTTATCATAATTTTAATGTCTCTTGAAGTGCTTAAGAATAATATACAGCGTGTCGTTACCACCGCGACAATAAATGAACACACATAAAGATGATAACTTTTTAAAATTGTATTAAACATTTACATTCTTTAAACATCAATATTTACAGAGTTATTAAAATTTCCAAAACAACAATTTTAGAACATCCTTACGTATAAAAGTGTAACGTAAAGTTCATTTGTAAAGGTCACGAAGCATATGAATGGGTTGAATGAATTTAAAAGAGACAAAACATGCTGTTAGAAGGAGAGGCTTGTAATGCGACGCTGTGGCGCGAGTTTTATAGGATGTTACAAATTTTGTTTCTTTTTTACTTAATTAGTTTGTTTGAAAAATATTTTTTTTTTAATTATGGATTTTGTTTAACGTTAATATTTTTTTATGATTATTGGCAAGTAGCGTTAGACGTGTGTTCATTTATTGTCGCGATGGTAACGACACGCTGTGGGTACATTTTTATAATAAGGAACAAGTGTACTTCACCAAATTAATCTTTACGTATAACTCTTACTGCAACTTAACAAAAAAAATAATAATGAAATACTTATTGAATTGGAATATATTGGTTTGGGCTTTTACAAGATTACGGAATGTGAAATTTGATTATCATTCACATTTTATATAATCTGAATTTCACTCTTGCAATGCAATAAAGTGTGGGTAACGGTCAATACAGGTCCTGCAACTTACCAACTCTGGGAATCGAATTGGGCCTATTACCTATGTTTTCGATTACCGAATACGACAAAGATAGTTACGCTTAAATCAATTTTAAATATACACAAACCAAAAATAAACAAACTGTTAAAGTAAACGAAAACATAAAGTGTACCTAGATTAAACTAATTGGGATTTAAAATATAGGTTATGTATGCATTGTTCGTTTTCGGAGTTTCCTTCCTTATGGAGTCACTCCTAGGTATTCATAAGTTGAGTTACTACTAGACCTGTACAGTACCGTACTGGTGTAATCGAGTCACAGTCTTGTATGGGTCAGATAATGATGGAATTGAGTCGAGTACATTTTTAGCTGCTTAAAAATATATTTTCATTTGAACAAAAATTTTAAATTTCATCACAAAATTTTGACTAAGGTACTAAGTAATTACGTACGGAGTACTCACAATTACTGTACTGGACGCTGGACGCACGCCCTCTGAGATTCCAAGGTCTGTGAAAACGTAAGCTTTTACCTCTATAAAATAATCGAGTGCCGTAGATGACTGAGCCGAAAAGTCATCCGAAAATGTTAAATAGATTCGAAAACCGTTCAGAATTAATAACACATCACAATCGTGCGAGATCCAAAATAAAAATACTTTTTTATCTAGGTTTAAAATCGCGGCACTATCTAGATTTTCCTTCCATAGTGGACTCAATACTTACTACTGGAGTTCTACTGGGTTACTTACACCTGTATATGTAACACTAGTTTCATTATGCTAAAGGTAAATCAAATAGGCTTTTGAAAAATCCACTTCTTGTATGGACGAGGTAATTGTGGAAATGAGTTGTGCAGATTTATAGGTACTTAAAAATATAGTGCCTGGAGGACCGAGCTTTGCTCGTTTTTTTTAGTAAATGATGTATTTTGGAAATAAAAAAAGAAAGCAATGATCTGGTATAGAAAAAAGTAAAAAAAATAAGTGTGTAAATGATCGTGATACGAACCGCGGCCGTCTGTTTTGGGGCCGCCCGATTACCGACCGAGTTATTATAACATTTTTTTGCGGCGAAATTTACATTTCATTTCACATTAAAGGACATTTTCTAAAAATGAAACCAAGCTAGATCGATTTTTCGCCCCCGAATCTACGCACATACAAAATTTTATGAAAATCGCTGGAGCCGTTTCCGAGATTCCAATTATATATATACAAGAATTGCTCGTTTAAAGCATAAGATTTAAATTTTAACAAAAATATTAAATATCATCCCAAAACTCTAATAAAGGTTTAGTAACTAGTTAATTACGTTTGGAGTATTCACAATTACTAAAGGTGTCCTGTTCCGGTACCAAATTCTCTGTAGTCATAAGCATTTTTCGCGGATCGTTTACCCTAAGATGACTAAAATCCGAAACGTCATACGATAATGTTAAAGAGATTCAAGAGATTTAATACCAAAAGATTCAAAAGATTTAAATTCAAAAAACCTGAATGCATAGTTGCTTACATTTCTAAATGGGCCAATATTCTGTTTGAATAGAACATTTGACTGTTAAGACAATTTAATTGACCAAATTGCGTGGTCTCTACAAAGCAACAAACATAGACTGATAAACGCATTACCCTCCTTTGCACCCCGCAGTAGGCCAGTTAAGATTGGAAAGGCGAAACTTTATTTTATATAAATCTTGTTGTTGAATACTCTTATAAGATAGCTTCGCGTTTTGGTTAATGTGCATATCACCAATACTGACCTGTCAAAGGAAGTAATTTTACATTTTGTGGATATTGCCGAAAGGATCGGTATAAAGAAATATAAAGTATAACCTAAAGATGTAAAGATTCATATAGAACAATCACGATTTTAACGCTGGGGGTAGTTTCATAAAGGCTTATAAAGCAGTAATAACGATACTCTTAATAATCTGTCTTGTTATGCTTCTCAATGGTAACACCGATAAAATCGCTTCGAATATCAGATACAACAACATGCAGTCAGTAGCAGGCAGTAAAAGAGATCAAATGGCAGAACTTAAAAAACAGGAAATAAATTAAAATGCTTTAACTACCTGAAAAATGCAGTTAAAAAGTACCAAATTGATAAATAATCTTATGTAAGGTCTAATGAGACTTAGTATAAAAAACAATGTTTAATACCTTGTGTTATTTGGTATTTTAGAGAAAATTTTATAAAGCCTCTAAGTTATTGTAACCAATTTCAGACTTAATGGTGAGAAGAAATATTTTTATTAAAGAATTAGGCAATTACTTCACCAAGCATGATATAACCATGCTCTACAAGTCATGTATAATAAATAAATCATGCTTGTTGTAAACTATATCAATATCTAGTTATACATAAAAAAAATTGTATAAATGCAATTACAAATTCTATATAACACATTAGTTAAAAGCAAAAGCTGTTTTAGTACATAATGCTGATTTGTGCTTTTTACGAGTAAATATAGTCATACTATAAATAGGTAAAAAATCTTAAAAATCCTAGATCCTAATATATCAATGTTTATCAGATTATTAAGATTATCTTGGCATACGTTTTTAACAGATCACTGATTAAATAAATATTTCTGATCTTTAGAGCATCCCAGGGCCATCCTGTTCTTGATTTCCATTCTTTTCGAAGAACATAAAATCCTGAAACAGATACAAGTTCTTTTTTATTATATATAGTTATTTTTAGTTAAATATTGAATTTATGTTTATAAAAAAATTATATTGTATATATTATAATATATAGTAATAATATACAGCGTGTCGTTACCATCGCGACAATAAATGAACACACATATATAGGAAAACTTTTAAAAATGGTATTAAACATTTACATTCTTTAAACATCAATATTTAACAAGTTATTAAATTTTCCAAAACAAAGAATTTTAGAACACCCTTACGTATAAAACTGTAACGTAAAGTTCATTTGTAAAGGTCACAAAGTATATGAATGGGTTGAATGAATTTAAAAGGGACAAAACATACTGTGAGAGGCTTGTAATGCGACACGCTGTATATATATATATAAATTACAAACATAAATATATATACATACAATTATAAATACATATATATATAAATAAATTTAGACAGTTAACGATGCACTTGACCTGCCGACAAGTTTTTGAGGATGTGCTAGTAAGTAATGTATCTACTTATATAATATAGTTATGATATGGTAATATTTTCGAAGATTGAAAAGGAATCGAATGCAGTTATTCAGAAGTCGGTCGAGTTCATTGAGTTGATCTGCATTCAGGTCGAAGTAGCACACGTCGCCATAACCGATTGAAGGGAAAATTAAGGCCTGCACGAGGAATTCTTTCGTTTTAACCGGCAAGAAATTTTTGAGCCGGTATAGACAATGTAGGACCCCTGAGACATTTTGACAGACACTACACTATCTGAGCATTCCAGCTGAGCGTCATGTCATTGTGCAATCAGAGATTTTTCACATTACGACTGATAGGTATACGAAAACTGTTGAAAGTTACATGCGGGAGATTACTCAGGTCCACTTCACTTTACCTAGCATTGGCTCGCTTCAAGCAAGCTTCTATTTTTTTTACAATAATTAATAAGACTTTTGAAGTTGGTTTTAATTCGCATCTTTCAAATTTTTGCGATCTTAATTACGACACACAAAGCAACAGTCTGTATCACATACTCTGTACGGTGACCGTGAACGCCATTAAATGCTCTAAAGGCCCATTTACACGATGCCATTTTCTTGTACATACAAGAGCAATAATTGAATACAATAAATTGCGCGCAATAATTTGTTAGACCATTTGTTGTTTAGACCATGCAACTCATTTATTGCTTCAATTTAATTGTATACAACAGGCAAGAAACTTGCACCGTGTAAATGGGTCTTAAATGTCAGTAAATAACACGAAGCGATTAATTATGTTATGAATTCTATTAGTTTTATTTGACTGTCTATAGTATTCACATAAATACAAAAAGGCTTTATATGAACCAGATAAATACCTGATAACCGAGATTTTATAAAAGGAAAAATCTCAGATTCATAGCAGAAACTATGACCCTAATTGATTTTAATCACCTTTTAAAGACTAAGGTATTTTTAAACCATTGAATTAAATTGTTAAACCATTAAATTATTTTGCCATTTATTATTATTTATATTAAAAAACATTGCCCTAACTTTAGGATAACATTATCCTTTGTTGTAAGGATGTTTTACAAACATAAATTTCATGTGGACAAAATACCGAGTGGGTCACACAAATAGTTGACCCATGTGGGAATGGAACCCACGACTGCAATGCTTGCAATTCGAAGGCAATACCTTGGCAACTGCTCCACGGAGTGATCTATTTATATTAAGATTAAGTATTTGATATTTGTAGATTTACATATTTTGATTGATTGATCGATTGATCAAAGTTACATTATTTTGCTCGGTATTTGTTAAATACGCTAAGAAGAGGATTTACTACAAAAACGATCAGCATACTTACAATTAGGAAACAGGCCCCCAACAAAACCGCTTTTATCCTTACATCTAAATCAATTGGAAAAGATATACCAAAGTAGTCAGAATCTGTGAAAAATTCGCGCGCAAGTCCAGACCACTGCTTTGTTATTTTTCCCACTTTTGTGTCACCGTCTTTAGAATATACCTGCAAGGCAATTTTGTCGTAAAAAGTGGAGGTCAGTAATATTTAAAACTATACATATGCACAAAGTTGCATATGGCCAGCATATACCCTAATGGGCCAGCCATATAGCTTGTAGAACCGATAACCGTTGGGGAAGAAAGGTTCTCGAGTGGCAGCCTCATACTGGCCATCGCAGTTTTTGACGACCCCCCACTAGATGGAGTGACGACCTTTGCAATATGTGCGGGAAGATGATGGTTGCTGGTGGCTCAGGATCGTACTTTGTGACAGTCTATGGGGGAGGCCTATTTTCAGCAGTGGACACAAACAGGTTGTATTGATAATGATGATCATAGATATGCTAACCGCTTACTTTCCCATGATAGCACACATCTTTGCGTTTCGTTCATCGTATCTTTCTCTCACATATCTTTTTATGTGAGAAGGTGAAACATGATCTTAAGTGATAACCACCGCCTATGGCCATTGCCAACGTCCGTAGGGTTGTAGAGGTGTCGCCACTTTATAATAAAATGCGCCCCGGACTCACCAGACGAAATGCAGAAGTATGTCACTTCCACTTCACATCTGTCTTCTTCTAAGTAGTAGTCCTTACCCAGACAGACCTGCCCATTTGTGCACTACTACAGTTAAAATTTTATCAATACAGACTGTAGATATAATATTAGTTGCAAGTTTGTTTTATAAAAACTTGTTAAAATCATCAGTTAATATTATACTAAATGGTTAAACACTTAAAGGTGTTTGAATGTGAATACCACAATTACATTGTTGTTAGGAAAAAAACAAAACCATCTCCAAATATCTCACTTACTCTACATTTTCTATTTGATTTTTAAGAGTTCCCCAATGTATCTTCAGAGCCCATTGTTCAATATCAATGAAATTATTAAGGAACCATGGGAGCTAAATTAAACCCAACGCGAAAATAATTGTCGGTCATAAATAACGGGATTCTGGGGTTATAGTGTTTGTTGAATATAACAAATACAATCTAATTTAGAAAGCCTCTCTTTTTGAAGTCAGACCCTAATACATGTGTTGTAAACACTGTCGAAAACTCTCATACATGTGTTAAGTCAATTATACTTATTTTTTATCCAAAATCATGTTGACTAAACAAAGGCAATAGGAAAAAATTTCACCTATAAATTAATATACCAAAAAGAGTAGATTAATCAAATAAATCGGATTTTAATTGAATCACCAAGTCATGTTTACTTACATTAAATTCAACATTCCCACAGATGGAGAAGGTGCAAAAAGGGCCTTTGATTCTTAAAACCACATCTCCAACAGAGTTTTTGATTACATAACACGGTTTACAGATAGACCATTCTTGTTCTATTGATCCAATGACAGTGCCTGGTGGTGCTGTTACTTCCATGCTTTGCAACCAGCATGGGCACCAACAGGAGTCACAAGCTAAAGGGCGATGCAAGTGAATAACCTGAAGAATTAAACACAGTACAATGTATCTAAGTTCAAAATGAAAATGTAAAACATTCTCATATATAAATTTTACTGCAGCAGTTATATAAAATTTTGCATGCTAAAATCTGTAAGATTTTTTTTTTAATTTAATTTAATGCTCAGAATGATAGTTGGGGTTAGTCCATGCATCTAGACCAGTATGACTTCCGACTACAGGTTGGCGATAACATTGATAAAAGATGCTTTGACATAGGAAACTAGAAACGACTAATCCCTAGCAAACATAGGTAGAATTATTTATAACCAAGTATTTTTAAATTGTCACAAAAGAACACCAAGACTCCAAAAAGCTCAAATAAGATAATGTTTCTATATAGAGAAATATAACATGTAATCAATTCAACATGATTTTTATACAATGTTAAATCTTTAAAATATTATATTTATTTCCTTAACTACCTCATTGCGGAAGTTGTCCATGATCCTCATTTCAAATGGACGAGTAGGACCACAGCAGTTTCGGGTACAGCAATCATTGTCTTCAACAGCATAATATACTTTTTGGCCCACATTATTTTTAATAGTATATTTATTATTTGTTTCAAATCCAACAAAAGCCTCTAACAATTCAACCTTTTGATGCACCAATAATTGGTCAATCATAGAAAGGTATTCCAAACCAGGTGGACAGTTGCTGAGACCTCGCGGAATAGTCATCCAACCACCTGAGATAAAAAAGATTATATATTAATAAAAAAAACATATAACAATTAGCATAATATACTAATCCTATACTTACATTAGAAAAACACATTAATCTAAGTACATTTTACAAAATACATGTTGTGAACATATATTTATAATATAAAATGAAATAAATTAATTATATTGTGAACATAAAATGAAATAAATTAAATATAAACACTTTTATGAAACTATAAAATGAAACTTTCAATGCATGTATGTTAATATTTAATATCCTCCACCAAATCCCGATTGGTTTTAATAACAATGAACCTCTTTTCCTCTTCTGATAGAAATTTTTCATAACCAGCATATCGGGATACAAAAACATTTTGAAAAACCTTAGTTAGTGCCCTTTTGACACTAGAAATATTTAATGTTTCAAAATAGACAGTGTTTCGATTTTTTATCTTATTGATATGACACTTTTTGGTGAAATATTTTTTATATTTAGACCACTGCACAGCACTAGTATTTATTTTATTTATTGGAATTTCCTCATCCAAAATATCAAAAGGCGGGCTGAATTTGTCTCTTAGCATTTTTTAAAATTATTAATTGCAAGACTTGTTAGCCACAAAAACAGTATCAATTGTGTATCAATTGTTAATACTAGGTACATATAGAGACAAGTAATAACCACAAAGTGAATGTTACTTGTTACCTATCACAGAAGAGTAAATAAGTCTTATCTGTGTAAGAAGTCGTTAACTTATTTGTACTCAATGAAGACAGAAACAAAGCAAGGGCAAATCCAACTTATTGATATATTAAATAATAAACATATAAAAGATACGTCATGCTGTCTCTTAAATTTTATAAGCACAAATTAATAAGATATAAAATACATAAGTAGATTTGTAATATTTACTTCAATATTTGTTTAACCAAAAAAAAAATAGGTAACAACTCTCCCAATTATAATTTCTCTTTTAATTTGAAAATTTTCTTAAATTTGAAAATTGCTTTACAATTTAGCAAATATCAGATTAATATTATGTATTAATTTGAAAATTTGCTTTACTATTAATATTTAGTTTAATAAAGATATTATTATACACTAAAGAACGACCAAGTGGGAATCGGATTCGCGCATGAGGGGTTACGTACAATTATCTACAAAAACAGCAAAAATATTATGCCTGTGCTATGGGAGCCCCACTAAAATATTTTTTATTATGTTTTTATTTGCTGTTATAGTGGCAAAATAAATAATCATATATGAAAGTTTCAACTGTCTAAATATCATTGGTTCATGAGATACTGCGTGGTGATAGACTGACAGACAGTTCCCAACAAATGGTTGAGTTTGATGAAAGTAATGTAAATATATAATAGTTTAAGTATTTTATTGTTACAGAACTAACTATTATATTTGGTAAAATAGCTGTTTTCACATAATATTCTGCTTGACTTTTTATAAGGTTTGTAAAATTAATTTCCATTTTTAGTCTTTTTTTTAAAAAAACAAAACTGTTTTAAATATTACCACACATAAAATTTTATTTTCAATATCATGACATTTTTTCATGTTTCAACTCTGTTAAATAAAGCTTGCCATTTAAATGTTAACTGGCATCTCAGTCTCAGTTCTAGCCATTCTCTGATCAAAATTAGGCCATGCCTCGGTCTTGTTTTTTATGACATAAATCAATATAATTTGAAAGCATACACCACTGAAAATTACTTTTGTTTTGTCATAGTTCAATTTTGATTACTAGTGAAGTACAGATAAATTTTGACTTACGCTACCCCATTTTATTTACAAAATTAAAGTTTTCACATCAGTGATAGCTAGTATCTGGGCGCTCGCTATTAATTCAATATACTCGAGCAAACTGACTTCGATCCCCAGTGCTGCCACCAAGGAAATTGTTAATTTTAAGTGTTGAATTATTAAGTCCTCAGCGGTGAAGGAAAACATCGTGAGGAAACCTGCATATTTTCAAAATAATAATAAAAAATATATATTTCGAAGATATGTGAAGTGGATTCGAGAATGGTTTAGATTGACAACTCTGTCCACATTTTTTTATTTATAAGTTGTTTTCAGTCATGTTTACAGGACTGTTGAGTCCAAAAAGTAAAGACTGTTTTTGCGTTATGTCTCGGTCTCACCCTAAACAATAAATAGATGTGAAATATATGTCCTTGTTAAAGTAAATCATATTGTCACAATAGTATTAAAATACTTACAGTGCTAACTTTTTTCATATTTGTTAATTTTAGAAGCTTAAGTATTTTAGAGTATTTACCTGCAGGACCTTGGGGTGCTGGTTGTTGCATAATGGGTGCATGATAACCAGATTGTGGATGTGGGTAACCTGATGCAAAACCTGGTTGGAATCCAGTTTGAAAGCCTGGTTGGAAGCCTGGTTGAAAACCTGTTTGCATTCCAGGAAGTGGTTGTGCACCCGGTGGTAAGTTAGGGCCAGGATGAGGCATTTGGTTTGGTGGAGGACCGGGATAACCACCTTGAGGGTTCAAGGGATAACTTTCATTTGACTTTCCACTCTCCATTGGAGGCTCGTATCCTTGGCCAGGTGGGAAATTTGGGCTGTATGGTATAGGTTTATGGGACATCTTTACAGTGTAGAGCTGAAAATAAATTTATGGGTATTGTTTCAAGTGCTTTTATATTATTTATATTTTATTGGGGTTGGGTTTGAATCAAAGTTGCCCGAATTTAAGTACTTAGTTAGTTAAGTACTGTACTTAGTTTGTGGGGTTAAGGAGTTTTATACCAAGAACTCTAATGCATTTTTTTCTGCCGGAGACGCGTAAAAAATATATTTAGCTATTTTTTAAAATTTAAAAGTCTTACAAAACGTAAAATAGAACGTAATTTTAATAAATTTCAGAGTGATTTCGAAGACGCGAATAATAAAATAAAAAAACGATAGAGTAAAATCACTAATGCATTGATCAACATGCAAAATTCTCCGTCGCATTCAGTTTACGAGAATTTTTTTTATTTAAAACTTGTTATTTTCACTAAGAGTGTACAGAAAACTGCATACACAGTACTGCCAACATGATAAATATAGGAAATGGAAGACTTCATACCCGTAACATTTGCTCGATCAAATTTTCTTTTAAATTAAATGAGTTGCTGATCCGACACAGAGCAATTTGACTCAGACAGATTAACCTTCATTGTAAGTGTGGCTAAGAACAACGCGCAGGAGGGGAACCCTCCCATTCTTATTAGATTTTTTGACATTCTTTTTAAATTCGATTAAATAAATTAAATTAAAAATTGTATAATAAAAAACTATGGTTCTTCGGGGTGGGAGGCAAGTGGGGGGTGACAAACCACATCACACCCCTCCCCCACCCCCTCGCCCCCTATGAAGGCGACATGTTTCAAAATTTTACCCTTTTATTAACATAAGGACTACAAATGGAGGATTTAACTCCGATCCATTGGTATTTTTAACAATTTATTATTTATGCCAATGTTCAAAGTAATTGTTCAAGTAATACAGACAGCATAGATAATTTCTAATTACTTCTCTTTCTGCATATGCTTAGTTATCATATAGTATACTTAAACAGAGACAACTTGCCATGCATTAATGCATTTTGTTACACTTTTATAAGTGTAAGTGATATTCCATCATTTGTAGACTGTAATTGAGAAGTAATGACTATTTGTGGCAATCTATGCTGGAGGCCTTGTTCAATAGTGGGCTCAAACAGCCTGAAATGATGATGATGATGACTATTTATGACAAACAGATTTCAATTCAATTATTAGGTACGAGATATGTAAACTCACTTAATCTATAAATTGAGACCATTAATTATGATAAAGTTCATTCATTACATATTTACAATTAGCCGTTAATATGAATAGATTCGATGATACTAAATTACTGTCTATTATACAAATTAAAACCGAATCCTACGTCCTCGTGAACATGACGTAGTCCTCGTGAACATGCAATAAAATGTTAACATGCAAACGCATATTCCATATATATTTAACGTTTAATTTCTGATGTTATTTTCCTCTGGTGAATCACCGACCACAACCATTTAAAAATATTTTATTGGTAAAACTACGTGACTGATGACAGTAAATTATACAATATATAATTTAAGGAATCCTACCTTAAATCCTTTCAAAATAACTGAATTGAGATATAACTAGTGGAGTCGGTATAAGAAAGCACTACGGTATTTATTTTGAGCCCATGAATCAATGAACGACACAGAATGAAAAGTTATGTGGTTGACGGTTGTGGATTAGGCATGGGCAAGCAATATCGATATGTATCGTCAATATTTTTATTACTGATATATCGATATTCGATATTTATTTTCGACTATCGAATTCCTATCAATTTCGATATATTTTTAATGCAACTCTGGTTTGGTGCTCAGCGTGCATGATAATACTTTTTTTTTAATAAAGATTACATTGCCTAGTAACAAGACCTTTAAGCTAATACCATGGAAATACTAATTACTAATACTATTAAACCATCAGTGTGAGATGTATATGACCCTGAAGTTAACAAACAATTAACAATTTTCGGATCCCTTTTTAAACAAATCAAATAAAGTTACAAAAAAACATGCAAATGTAGAAATTTAACAACTCTATGCACAATTTTTATATATTTTCTTTTATAATTTATCGTTGGAAAAGTTTCAAATATTATTAAACATCGGTTAACTTCAGTATCATGAGAAGTTGATCAACTAGTTAAATCTTTCAATTATTTAGCGTGATACTTATGTCTGTTTGCATTTTATTTAACGCTGTGTCATTCAAAGTCACGATTATTCATAAATATTACTTTTTTTCTTCATGTCTATTCTTTTTCATGAATTTTGAATAATTTGGAATTAGAAATATTAAACTCGATAGTTTTTAAAAATGTCGATTCGTATATTTCGATAAATAGCGATATATGTTTTTACTAGCCCATCCCTATTTTGGATTAACGAATGACTGACATGGACTGACATTACTCTAGTGACTTAAATGAGTTAAGACAAATGTTTGTTGGCTGTCTATACTATAGACAACATTGGCGTTGAATTAAATCACAGAGACAGTATAGCTCTTTTTTTTTGTAAATATAATACTAGAAATTACAATATTCTTTAAAAATTGAGTATCATTTGTCCTACTGTTTCCTGTTTAGCTTATTTTTGAACGTATGTCAATGTTGCCAGATGTTCAGAACAAAACATTTCCGGTTAAATGTTGCAGTATAAATGTCATTTTACAAAAATTGTGTAAAAGTTTTACAATATTCTTTCTTCATATGCTTTAACTAAAATAGAATTGGTGAATATAAAAAAATTAAAACAGTTTGAATGTACCTACAGTGTATAAAAAAATTTAACCATATTATGTGATTTATTCAAGTGTTATCATTATTTCTGAAATTTAATTTCACACTTTGGCTGACAAAAAAAATGGTTTACACTACTCTATCATATTTTTTTTCAATAAAAATAACGATACAACTTTTAACTTTTTTTTCTAAATATTGTGGTAATTTAATTTATTTAGGTGCAACATCGGCATCCGGTTGGTAATAATTCCATTCACCAATCAAACCATAGCAATAGAGTGCATTGACCAACCTGCTGTTGCTGCCAATTCCACCGAGGAGCAAGTCAGTTGGATAGGTGTTTGCTTCCGTGTTTGTACTTTCAAGTGTAAAGTGAATAGAACAGCGCCGGGATGCAATCAAAGTTGTTTTGTTAGCCATCTAACTAAAATGGCGTCGGTGTTTATTATTTAGTTATCTCGTTTCATGTGGATGTTCTTCAGAGATCGCATCCGAGTGAGTCATAAACTAACATAGCAATGACATTTTTATAGCACACAGTGAGAATACGTTTCCAAAACGTGGTTAAGAAGACTGGAAAGTGTGAGTTAGATACCACAATAATGCGCGAATTCAAAGTAGTTGTGCTGGGATCGGGTGGGGTCGGCAAGAGTGCTTTGACGGTGCAATTTGTGTCCGGATGTTTTATGGAAAAATACGACCCCACCATAGAGGATTTTTATAGAAAAGAAATTGAAGTGGACAATTCTCCATGTGTTTTAGAAATATTGGATACAGCGGGGACGGAACAATTTGCATCAATGCGTGATTTATATATAAAAAACGGCCAAGGCTTTGTGGTAGTATACTCATTAACTAATCACCAAACGTTCCAAGATATAAAACCAATGAAAGAGTTGATAACGCGCGTGAAGGGTTCCGAACGTGTGCCAATTTTGTTGGTGGGCAACAAAGCTGATTTGGAGCATCAGCGAGAGGTTTCACAAGCCGAGGGCTCCAGTCTTGCACAAATGTGGGGCTGCCCTTTTGTTGAAGCGTCTGCTAAAAGCCGCACCAATGTGAATGAAATGTTTGCTGAGATCGTGCGCGAAATGAACGTTAGTCCAGAGAAGGAAAAGAAAACTTATTGTTGTTGTACAGTGCTTTAATATTTAGTGTGTAATGTGGCATTTATTTCTCGTAAGACTGCAAGACGAGGCGGATATGTAGCCGTCTCAGCTCGACGGCCGCCTGCATCCAGTGGGCGCCGGTGGAACACGGGTGCGCCCTGCCGGCCCCCGTCGCTGGACCATTGGCGGCCGCGGCGCGCGTCATATCACGTTGTTAATATCTTTGATACATACCATTGTCCAATCAAGGTGCTTTATCTTATATTTTCATACTTTAGTACTGGTAGATACTCCCGCAGTAACCATTATCACATGAAAGAACAGAATATTTGATTTCTAATTGGATTATTATTATGTATTGCAGCCAAAACATATATTTAGTTAATTTTGTCTTAAAATAATTTGGATGCTGTCAAATTTTATGCAACAACAATTAATGTATTGTCAAGTAATATTAGTGAACTTTGTATATATTTTCATGAGATTAATAATGTGGAGGGACAAGAAAGGTTTTAGAGAATTTAAAGGCCATCCAAATATGCAATAAACATATACATATGATTGTGTAGAGTGAAGTGAGCTGAGTAAGAGTTTACGCCTAAGTCAACTTGCAGATTGTGTTTTATTGTGTAAATTATGTTAATATGAAAAATCAGTAATCAATGAAAACACAGACTTACGAATTGTCAGTTGCGTGATTGTGTTTTAAAGTCTACCAGGATTTGTGATAATACATATAACAAAATATCTATAATAAAAGTTTTAAGTGGGAGATTAACAAGTGAAGTTTTATTCTTCAGAAAACAAGGTAAACATCTATGCTCTTTCACAATGCAATACTTCTTACATACTAATTGTAAAGTTTTATAAAGACCATTTTAAAAAGAACAAAAGTAAACTCCAAATTGGCTAACAAATTGTATATGCCTTTTGCTGCTAATTTCTAAATGAACCTAAATCATCAAACTTTTATCATTTTATAAACCAATTAAAATTTTTTTTGGTTATTGGTTGTTGAAACTTAATAAACAATTATTTACATAATATATTACATATCTCATATGTAGGTTACATGATGTATGTAACATTATATGAGACATAATGTATGTACATTATATACAACATGATATGAGATAAAAAACACAACACAAACTTTTATTTTTATTTCAGGAAGTAGTTGTGTATCATTTTATACACATTTTGGTTTCATCTTGAAGAGTATTCTATTTTTTCAAAGCAATTTACATTAAGTTGTATAATCTATCACCAGTATACTTATAAAATTTTGATACAAATATATTTATTATTGACAAAATGTGACTTTACAAATGAATTTTTTAATTAATACTAATATAATAAATGATTATATATAATTAAATTGACTAGGTGGCAACATTGCTCAGTTATTGGGGGTTGTGGGTTCGGTTCCCACACCGGACAAGTATTTGTTCGACTCAGATAATTGTTCAGGGGCTGGGTGTATGTTTTACAAGGAGGGTTGACGGGTTCGGGCAAGCAGCCTGTTGTAAAAAATATAGCCAAAACCGCTTACAATATGATTCACATGTGATGATGAAATAATTCAACTTGTTTATCAAGCCAATGACAGATATTCAGTTTTTATTTGAATGGTTAAAATTTTCCTATATCATATTTCATACAATAAATGTCTTGGCTATTTTTGAAGTAAATATCTAGTTTCTTTTTTTATGTTTTATTGTTTTTGAGTTTGGACTAACATTCAAACATATTCTTTGTATTTGTGTTTGTTGTAAAGAAAACAAGCAAATGTTATATAAAGTATACTCAAAAATATTTTCTTTTTGCTTAAATATTTTAGACAGCTTATGGAAAAATATGTTTTATACATTTTTGTATACAGCGTGTCTTTACCATCGCGACAATAAATGAACACAGGTCTAACGCTACTTGTTATAAAAATCCATCATAAAAAAATATAAATGTTTTAAAAAAATCATAATTAATTATTTTTTTCAACCAAACTAATTAAGTAAAAAAGAAACAAAATTTGTAGCATCCTATACAACTGCAACTGACTGATTCATACATTCAGAGACTTTTTCATTCGTTGCCACAGCGTCCCATTACAAGCGTCTCTTTCTAACCGTATGTTTTGTCTCTTTTAAATTCATTCAACCCATTCACATGCTTTGTGATCTTTACAAATGAACTTTACGTTACAGTTTTATACGTAAGGATGTTCTAAAGTTGTTTGTTTTGCAAAATTTATTAACTCTGTAAATATTGATGTTTAAAGAATGTAAATTTTTGATACATTTTAAAAAGTTATCCTCTCTATGTGTATTCATTTATTGTCGCATTGCTAACAACACGCTGTATAATATAAATCAATATTTCACAATATTATTCTTCTACTTTATGATTTGTAGTTTTTTGTTCTGCATTCTATAAATTTGCAGCATATAATTTATATGAAATTTAAACATATATCAATGTGAGCTAATTTTTAAAGTTTTAAACTTAGTGTTTTTATATTTCTTAGTTAAATGCATTACTTAACTAAAGAATACTCCATTCATTTTTTTGTCCTTGTGGTATTAATATCATATATATAGTACACACATCAAAAATTACTCAATATTCATACTTATTCAAAATGTATGCATGAAAGTCATATCCTTTTCCTTTTATTTCTATATATATTCTAGTTCTTTAAAACTTTTATGACCAGGTCTCATACACTAGCATTTCAACATTATATATCAAACTAAAACTATTTGAGTTCAATTATAGTGCACCCTCTCCCTTACTGTGATAACATGCCTGCCTGTAGGATCTATTCAATGAAGAGAGCTGCCATTAAAGCCATTATTAAAATTCCAAATAGTTGAAACAGGTAAAGGGTTTGGAGGCAACAATGAATTCATGCACAAATTAATTTGAATGGTGAGGCGGGTTTTATATGTGTCCCCCGTCATGTGAAATAGTGAATGTCGCGTGTGTCTTAAACGCATAGTAATAAGGTTCAATTGAGCTTGGAACTTGTTTATTCATTCAGATGCAATCAAGTTGTATTGTGTATTGACATTTGTGTGCAGGTTTTGACGGATCTTTTCGTTCAAATTTCAATCCTATGCATTTTTTAATAAAATTGTATGTTCAGAAAAATACAATCAAGTTAAAAGACTTTTTCCTACATAAAGTAATTATTACAACAGACAATGCAGGAAGAAAGAATATGATGACAACAATGATTGCAATTACGCCGCCACAAGGTCTCAATGCAGCTGACGTGAACGGTAAGTACGGGTAATGTGGACGTCAGACACGTATAAGCCTGATGAATGTCCGCAGGTAATTCTTAGTCAGCTGTACAAACAACTGTTATAAAATATTTAAGTTAGTCATAAACACCGGCGGCATCTGATTCGTTGTGGACACATATAAAATATATAGGTATTTCATTAGTTGTATTAGATCTGTCATTACTAAAGTCCGTCAGTCCATATTTAAATATAATATAAAACAGACTGGCGCACTTAGACGCTGTAATAAGCGCCATTTTTAAAGCAAAAATAGGTCTCTTCTTCTACCTAGCATTTATTTTCCCAGCAATTGCCAGGGTCTGCTTTTCTAATTAAACTCTTCCACTTTGCCCGATCTTCGACATTAGTTCGTTTATGTTATAAACTACTTAAAAGTAATCTGTCATATCATGATGTCGACAAATTTTCCATGAAACCCCGAATAGTGAATGGAAGTTAGGAAAAACAACACTATGTAATAAAATAATTTGGTTATAGTAATACCGCTATTATCCATAAATATTATACAACATATAAATTTTTGTATGTAACTATGTTGGGTATATTACAATTGGGAAGGTTCCCCTTGGAATAGATTGGCGGCGTAATTCTGAAACTTCTCCCGCGCACCGCGAACCGCGCCTGCGTGTGGGGGGAACTATAAATACATCAAAGTACGGTTGTTACTCGTTCCATATTTTACTATATGATCGAACAGATAGGCAGGATATTATTTTCACTTATATTCCAGCTAATATAATATGCAAATAAATAACAATAACATATCGCAAACACTTGAACCATGAAATAATTATGTTCTTGAAGGCATACCCGAAAGCTTTTGTCTTATCAATGTGAAGTCAAGCCATACTTTAAAGTTGTTATGAAATATAATAATATTATTACGTATTAAAGTTACTCTTAAGGGTACCTAATAGGAATGTATTGTTATTTGCTAAATAAGGCATGAATAGTTGGGTGCCCTCTGTTCTCATGCTTTGAATGTTCTCATGGAAACAATCAATGCGGGTATTTCAGTGTTGTTTAATTTGTACTGTTATGGAGGGTCATTAAATGAATGTTTCCCCCTACTTTGTTATTGACTTGGTCTTCGTATTACTTTCGGCTTTAAAAAGTCACGTTATCCACTACAAGTATCATTAGGTATTTCATTTATTTTGCATGCATAGTGAATAGTATCTATATTAAAATTATTTATTGTTAAAAATAGTACAGTAATTGCGCACAGAGGTGAGGCCTTGCAAATAAACAAAGACAACAAATCTTAAACACAGTACAGTGTTAGCAACTTAATTTAGGAAATAAAAAGCATAGTTACGTTGAAGGCATTTGAATTCTTAGCGCTAGCTTAGTTACGTAAACGGAGCAATGGGAGCCGTGAAGCCAGATGTCCTCGGTCGTGTTGTGCAAAGCGTAGGCCGAACAGCATTTGCTCCGTTTCGAAAACATGAATCGAACGCGTTTTCATTCCAGCGTAAAAAACCCGACGATATCTGGAAACGGCCGCCTTCACAAATACCAGCAAAATATATCTAAATTACGACATATTTTCAAGAACGTCCGCTATCGTTACTATCTGGTTTCATAATTAAACTATGATGTTGTCTTGTAACTTATATAATTATATATATTTGCAAATAATAAAGCCAGATTTCTCATATACCATTTTTAATGGATCCTTGTATGAAACTGGTCCGATTGCTAGTAGGCTGTTGTTTAAAACTCGTACTTCGCCACGGTGCGGCGGCTGCTTAGTCCTTGTAGTTGCGCAAACGCCCACCTTGACTTGCATTACTTGCACCCAACATGGCGCGCCTGCTTTAACCAATATGCCGTGGTATTGCCATATCTTATAAAACGATGACACGTATGCTCGCGCACCAATATTGATTTCTATTTTGTCACTATCCAGTGTAGATATTAAAAAGACTTAAAAATTATTTACTAGCTGCTGCCCGCAGACTGTAAAATAGGCTGAAGGCGTAACATCATACAGAGAGACAGATATACATATACAGGCAGATTTTTTGAGAAGTGCCCAAATTTACACAGGAGGTTCAGACTCTGTAGTATAATCGTTTATTGAAATAAAAAACAAACTTTTTTTAAAAAAAATTACCATTCTATTCCCTAAAAAAACAGAACTTGTTGACAATGCGGTAGTCATTCATAAATACCCAAATTTTACTGTGTATGAACTTGTGTGCGTGTTAGTTATTAATGATCGCGCGTAAAACAAATGAGTTCCGTATAAATCAGGCACTTTTTGAGATAAGTTCAAATGAATGTAATTAATTACTTACGAGTGATTTTAAATATTTATCATTTTTATATAACATTATTTATGTCTAGAATTAAATTAAAAAAATGGGTACACTTAGAAAAACCTACCTGTATATATAAATTATAGCCATGTACATTCTGATACATAAGCTATATTATTGTAAAGTTTCATTTAAATCCATTCAGAAGTATTTGCGTGAAAGAGTAACGAAACATCCATCCATACATACAAACTTTCACCTTTATAATATTAGTAAGGATTTAAGGTTGAGAAGTACGCCCCCATGACCGTAGTAGTCGTATTTCGATAGATTGCTCCTTACTGTAGGATAATATTATCCTATGTTGTAAGCAGTGGCGGACTAACCGGGAGGCGGGAGGGGCGGTCCGCCCCGTGTCCCCGGTCGGAGTGGCCCCCAAAGGCCTTCATGTTTCCTTGAAGAAATCCTAAACAGGGCATTAAAATTATGCCTTGTGTCTATCTAAGAGTTTGGAGTTGGTCCATGCAAATATTACTTCTTTGAGATAAAATACGAATAACTAAATAATTATAGTCCGAACTCGTAATTTACAATTTATAAATATTATTATTACTACTGCTAATCTGGGGCGTAACTATCGCCGCATAGCCACCTCAATGATACGGGGCCCTCGGGCTACAGAGGCCCCGAATGGATGAAATAAAAAATTCCACAATCATAGTAAGTCCAGTACTGGCTTAACCGTACGAGCACACGGGGCCCGTGCCCAGGGCTCCTGTCGTCACGAGGGGCCCCGCATGGTCTACTTATTCGCTTAAACTATAAAATTTCCTCTATTTTTGGTAGATATATTCCGACCGAAGTTTGGAATAACACAAATAATAGCAAATTTTTCAAATTTTCCTCCCGACACTATATTTCTAATGTCTATACAAATTTAGTTCCAGTTTTAAATATGTTTTCCACTTCGTAATTTTTTCTAAAGGGTATCTTATCATTATAGAGAATAAAAATAGTAATACAATAAATAACCAATTAAAAAGATCACCTTGAATTAAAAAGCTACTTTACTGTAACCGGTAAGTATTTAGCTATTAAAGCATATTATAATACTTTATGTGTTTGCGTGCCTTCACTTTACTGAACTACTCTCCAAGAACTTCAGTGAAATCAATTTCTTTTGAAACAAAGCACAGAGCTACTAGAAATAAAAAGTACATATTACTTTATTTTTAGTAATGGATTTTTTCCGATCGATCCTAATTAGATTTTCCTCATCCGTATCCATATTTTGTGTATGTTTTTTTTTTAAGTGCAGTTTAAATTACTCTTACAAATTTTTAATTGAATAAACATAAACGTTTATACGAATGTGAAGTGAAAAGTTTATGCAAAAAGCTTGGAAATTCAGATCAACATTTTTCTTAACATAATTTTTTTGTAATACACGAAGATATTTTACATGCTCCTTGGTTATTGAACACTAGAACCCCTATATGAACTACTAACGACTTTCCTCGTAAAATGTCCATTACCAACCCACATTAGTCGTATGTATGTACGATGATACATCATACAATGGAGGACTTTTGGTGAATCTCGATTGGTATAGTGTTGTACCACCATGGACACATATTTTACTTCATTAGCGTTGACATTGAAGTAAAAAGAACTTTCTGCTGTGAAGTATAAGTGTGTTATTTCTACTATAAAATTTTTGTCAACCTTTTACCATGTAAAATCCATACTGGAGCTTACTGAATGTACTCTAAGGCACGATTTTGTTTACAAAGGAGGTATGTTGGCGGGTGGGATGAACCACACGTGCTTGCTTCCGAGCGGTCGACACAATAACGAAGTGAGAGACATGCATTGTGTTCTGGGGACTTGGCGTGAAATGCAGCCACGTGTTGAGCAGGTTTTGTTTTAGTCGGCTTCCGTCCAATAATTTAATGTTTTAGGGATATTTGATAAACTGAAGCATTACAAATGCAAGACTCGCTTAAAAGTAGATTATAATATTGAGCCATATATCCGAAACATTTTAGTATGTTTGTGCCAGGCCGCAACTCCCGTTTGACCGATAACATTTGAAAAGCCATTTGACAGCTGAATAGTTAACTTCTACGATGATCAGTGTTTCAGAAACCGGGCGTAAAAGTTGTAACTTGTATAAAACAAAGGGGTAATATTAGGTATTATTAGCGAATAAAAAGGATAATATGTAAGGCAAGGCGATCAGTCGTATGTGCATCCGTTGTTGAATTGTTACATAATATATGCCTTGCAGTAAGGTATCATAAACATTTATATTTATGGATGTGAGCATGTCCATCGACAGTAACTTCCGCCAGAGACTGCGTCGCTCTTTGACCGCAACTGATTATACAGTTGCATTTGTTTACAAAATTAACATTTTATTGTCTTTAGTCGATTTGTAAGTTACAATATGTATTGTAACTCTTACACATTGTACATATTACTCATCATTTATATGCAGTATGCATATGTAACAATAAAGTATAATAATATATTTATTTGAATCAATTTAGAAATAACTTTCCTGCAAAAGTGATGATTACCTTATAAATAAAGCTTTTAGGTATTTTATTACCTCATTTCGTTACTGGAAAGGTCGAAATTAATAATAATAATAATAATAAATCTTTATTGGCCGTATGGAAGGAGAAAGAGCTCCACGGGAGGTTCTACAAGGCTCTACACGAGCCTTTCGTAGATACTGTTGCCTCCCTTAACTGGCTACGCTTCGGTGACCTCTTTGGGGAAACCGAAGGTTTTGTCTGTGCGATACAGGATCAGGTTATTAAGACGAACAACTATCGGAGATACATCCTAAAGGATGGCACCGTCGACATCTGTCGAGCTTGTCGCCATCCCGGGGAGTCGCTTCGGCATGTTATCTCCGGTTGTTCCATGCTTTCTAACTCTGAGTATCTGCATAGACACAACCTAGTAGCCAGAATCCTACACCAGGAGCTCGCTCTGAAATACGGCCTCGTGGAACGGAAACTGCCGTATTATAAGTACTCTCCGGAGGCCGTGCTCGAAAATGACCGCGCCAGGCTCTATTGGGACCGGTCCATCATTACGGACAGGACGATTGTCGCGAACAAACCTGATATCGTGTTGATGGACCGGGCACAGTCGCGGGTATTTTTGGTCGACATTACCATTCCATATGACGAGAACGTCGTGAAAGCCGAAACAGATAAGAAGACGAAGTATCTGGACCTGGCTCACGAGGTGACCGACATGTGGGGTGGTGTGCCGACCGAAATTATCCCTATAGTCGTGTCTGCGAATGGGTTGATCCCAGTCAGCCACTCTAAACATCTGAGGCGACTGGGACTCCGGG